TGCTATTTCTTCTCAGATAATCAGATGCCCTGGGATAATAGCCAGCAGAACTGCAGTGGGATGGGCTCCCAGCTGGTGGTGATCAATACAAAAGCAGAGCAGGTAAGTGCAGGGCTGGGAGAGGGCCAGAGCAGCCTGGAGACAGGAGTGCCAGGCGTGGAGGGGCCTCAGAGCCCCTCCTGGCTCCTGCAGTGGAGGGGGGATGTCCTTGCTGCATGCACTCAGCACTGGCTCCTGTCTGACACCAGCTCCACCCCACTGGGACTCCTGCCACCTCCCTCTGTTCAGTCCTGAACCTCACGGACGTTGTACTCTCCCTGATTTCCAGGCTTTCCTCTATAAGGAAATACAGATGAAATACCGATGAGAACAAATCAATTTATACATCGGTCTGAGGGCACAGAAGGTGGGCCAGTGGCGCTGGGCAGACCAGACTCCCTATAATGAAACAGCAGCGTGAGTATCCCATGACGGAGATGTGGTTGGGTGGCTCCGGGTAGTGCAAGAGGGTGGAAGAGATGTGAGGGTGTCTGATGAGCATGGGAGGGATATGCCATGGCTGTCTGTGAGAGGACCATGATGGAGCCGGCAAGGGCTTTGTAGGATACCAGGTTCCTACAGATCCATCCATGCTGGTTAGTCGTTAGCGATAAATTATCTGTGACATGGCCATCGGTGCTGTAGGCAGAGAAGAAGCTGCATTTCCTGAGGAGTAATACATGAATTCATACAGGACAAGCCTTGCCTGACCTCCATACTGCCCCACCACACACATGTGCAGGTGTAGGCACATGGTCTATGTTCCTGTATGTGTGCAGGTGTAGGCACATGCTGGGCCGGTGCTGTCATGCTGCAGAAGCAATGGGGTGCTGGAGAGATCACCAGGGCTTGGCTTGCAGATGTTTCTTCTGGAAGAAACGCATCCCCTGCTGGCTGTGAAGCCTGGCGTGAGCTGTGGTGAGCAGCTCTGCCCACCAGGACTGAACAGCTCCTGCTGTGTTGGTTCTAGAAATAAGTCAGGTTTGCATGTAAGACTGCTGCCAGTGGATTAGCAGAGTGAGAGGAAGGGTACGACTTCTGTCCATCAAACTGCATCTGGACTGTCTCCCCTCCAAGCCTTGTATTCCAGGCGTGGCCTATTCCAGCAAGGTGCTTGCAGGGTGCACAGGGAGTAACATGTCTGTCTCTCTCTCAGGTTCTGGAGGCCTCGGGAGCCAACTAATACTCCTGAAGAGAAGTGTGTTGTAATCCATCACCAGTCAGAAAATCTCCAGAACTGGAATGATGTCCCGTGCACAATCCGTTCTTATCGGATTTGTGAAAATGCAGCAGAAACTCTATGATGGAGGAATCCTCATCCTGAGATTAGCAGCGAACTGGGAACAGCAGAGGGCTGTGTTGGGAGGGGGGAGAGCCTTGGAGCCTTTATCTTGCCTCTGCTGGTGGATGATGAGACTGGGAGTGATGTTGCTCTGCACACAGCATCCCCTGTGCATGTGTATTTCTCAAAGTACTATGACCCCTGAAGTGCAAACAATAAATGCTAAAGAACTCTGCCTGTGCTTTCTCAGGCTGACCATCCCTTCCCATGGTCGGTGAGGACAGATTTGGCAGTGGAATCTCCAGGCAAGCATGGCAGGTGAAGGTCATGTCTGTACGGGAAATGGGCCAATGCCTTTCTTTCAATGCCATTGCCTCCATGGGACTGACACAGGAGGGTTCAGGGTCATCAGAGCAGTTCCTGGGCTCTTCTGTCAGTCATCCTCTTCTCTCTGTGTGGGTCTGGCAGCTGCTGGCTGAAAAGAGCTGGAGCTCTCCTGAAGGAAGAAGATGCAGGAATGCAAGAAGGATGCTCAGAGCTGCTGTTCCCTTTGTCTGCTTGAGAAGAGGTGTCTGCTTCTTGCTGGGTCATAGAGAGTCCTGTTCAGCATTGACTTTGCTGAACAAATACTGATTTCCTGTAAAGCAGAAAATACAATATTACACCGATAAAAAAGGCTCTGGGCTCACTCCCCCTCTCTCTCTTTCCCTTTCCCTCTCTAAGCTATTTTGCACATGCACGTGCTTCATACCAAGCCTGTTGCTGTGCCAGGAAAGTGCCAGAGATGACTACTGCATTAGAAGTTGCATACACCCAGTGAGTCTTAACACTTCAGAGATAACCTGTGTGTAACGGTCCTGTCGCACACAGCCAGGGCTCTGGGAGGGACCGGGCACAGGAAACCAGCTGTGGGGTTTTCATATGTTGCCATGCTGAAACTCTTACCTGAGAGAGAAACAGGAGCGTGTGCCAGGAGTCTACCCTGCACATGGTTGACCAGGTATGAGGACATGGCCCCAGCAGCAAAATTATTAGGTCCTTTGGTCACCCCTCCCACCTCAGAGCTAATCCTGGACTCAACAGATGCAGCGGGCGTCCTGGGAGGCTGACACCTCAGTGGGCCCTGTCAGGGCACACCTGCCCAGGCTGGACAATGCTGGAGAAGAGGCAGGGAGAGGCAGGGCGGTTGCTGCCCATGAGGGACCCTCCAGAAGTGCAATGCATATTGCCTTCACTTCCACCCGAGTCTTGAGAGTTGGCTTCCTAAACCCATCCATGGGAGTCGTTGTGTGGGTGGTGGCAGAAGCTGCCGAATGCCATAGCCCAGCAGACACAAGGCAGCTGCATTGCCATGTCCTTAGGTCCAGGCTGTAGCGAGGCTGAGTGTGTACACCAAACAGGCACAGCTGCACACATTCACACAGCGTGTACGTATACAGGTACAAGTATGCATAGCATGCAGACAGATGAGCACTGCTGAAAAGCACTTGCACAATCAGCACCAGCAGCCTCACCCTAGTGCCCTCTCTGGCTGCTCAGGGTGAAAGCTTGTTAGCGGAAAATATACGCTTACATTTATGCAGTATGGATCCCTCCAGGAGCTAGGCTTAATCATTGAGTATCCAGTAGCTGGACCCTAGATTGCAAGGTCACGCAAGACCCCTGTTGCTGCAGTATTTCCTTCTCTCCACATCCCACTGATCTTGTTGTATCCGTGCTGCTCTTGTTGGCTCTTGTCTGTACTGCAAGGGTCTGGGAAAGTAGACTCAAGATTCTCCGGGGCCTCCAACTAGCATTTCCTAGCAATGAACTTGGTAAAACCAAGTACCCCTCTCTTCAGTGGTTCAGGGAGAGGCACGAGAGACCCTGGCAACTCTGCCAGGTTGGAGCATCTATAAGCAGAGTTGGACACCATGGGCAGGCATTCAGCTGTCATTCCTGGCTGTAAGGGGTACGGCAAGTAGACAGTCACAGCTTCAGCAGATGCATGTGCCCTTGAGCTTCCTCAGCAGCCTGTGGGTCAGCAGACTGCATGAAGTGGTGTGGACACAGACCACCAGCAGTAGGAAGCCCCTGTAAACAGGGGAACCCACACGCCCAGAAAAGAGGATGTGTTCTTGTAAGCTGCACTTCCCACAGCAGGAGTGAGAGCAGGGTCAGGAGCTTGTGCAAGTGTGCGAATGATCACATGTGGGGTCTGGAGTTCTGGGGGGGGTAGTTGCAGGAAGCTGTTTAGAAACCCATAGCTGTTTATTAATGTGTCATTGATCCATTATATTCCTAATTCTGATCCCGAATACAGGGATCGTGTTTTGCCAGTTAACTACGTGCCATTAATGTACTGCCTCAAGACCGATTAGATTTAAGCTGTGCAATATGAGCAGATTTTCCCTGTAACAGTTCCCTACCCTCTGCATTTTCCTTCCTGATCAGCCACCCTCAGCTCAACCACAGAGTCAGGCATATTACAGAGCAAGAACAAACAGCACACATTCTCATTTTGGGGCACGAGTGGTACAATTCATCTTTGTTACCAAGCTTTGTTCTAAAATTTCGTTCTAGAATCTCTCACTGTGCTGTGAACCTTCTAGAGCAAGTACCTTCTAGTAGTTAATTCCTTCTAGGACAATACCAGCAAGCACGTTTATAGACCGTCTTTCCAATGCAACAGCACTGTTGGCATGGTCTGAGCCTTTTGTGCACATTTCTACACACAGTTTATGTTTGTCCTCATTTGTCAACAACTGTGTGCCCTGCTCTTCTGAGCCTTTGATGCTCATGTTGTTAGCTATCCCATGTCTTCCTCAGCACCTGCATGTCTGCCTCTTCACAGGGAGAAAGCTAACTGATGGGGTGTGGAGGAGCAGTGTCTGCATGCCCACAGCACTCAGTTCAGAGCGCAGAGAGGCCCAGCAGGGCTTCTTTTTCCTTCGGGATATCCTTAGGGATTCTTACATCCTCCGGAGTTTTCAATCAAGTCACCCCGAGCAGTGCTACAAGTGCCATGTGTGCCTCACGTAGTGGTGACAGAGTAAAGTTTCTTGACCTGTCACAGTCAGGGCTGCTGACATGATCTGGTGATCCCTTCAGATCTCCGGCTACGTTTCGGCAAGTCACGTGCAACCCCTCCTCTCTGCTCCAAGCACCATCCTTGTTTCCTCAGCAATTAGTCAGAAACCATGTTGGCAAGTTCCTGAGCTCTGGGTTACTGGGCTTGGGCCTTGCATGGGGACTTGCCCAGGCTGAGCCACACATGGGCCTTCCTGTAGTGTTCTGGCTGCTTTTGTAGGCCCTTGTGAGTGTGTTTATTATCCCTTTGCTAGCAAACACCAACAGCACAGGCATTTTCACACATGTACTCTCTCACCAGGGAAGGATAAACACCACTAATGTGTCTTGTGAAGCTGCTTGAAAATGTACAGAAGGAGATGGTCTGAGCAGCAGTGGTTCTGTTTTTCGTCTGTTTTCCTTTGCCTCTGTGAGTTTCTAGGTTGCATCAAGCCTCTTGTGAAACGTCCTGACAGAGAAATGATGAAAATTCCCCCATCTCCATGTGCTGTGGGGAATACCCCGGCTATGACTCTGTCTGTACATCGGATTCAAGTCCGTGCATACTGCCTGGCACTGTGGGAGCTGCCCTAGCTCCTCCTCCTGCAGCAGGGCTGTGCTTGTGGCCGTACTGGTAACAGGGACGGGACTCTTGGTGGAGAAGTGATGCTGTGGCAGCGATAATGAACCAGCAAGAGAGAGTCGGTCCTGGGACTGCAGGTAACCGTAAAGCCTTCCTTTCTGCCCTCCTCTAGGAGAAGGAGAAGGTGGGGGAAAATACGGGGCTGGGATATATAAAGGGCATGGTACCGTGGCTGGCTGTTTACCAGCAGAAAGACCCAGTGCCCATTCTCGGGGTAGAAACCATCTCTTCTGCGTGTCTGCTGCCAGACACCGAGCTGGACTGTCAGTCCTTTGAGTAAGTGACTACTCGCTGTTGTGTTTAACAGGCTGGGGGACAGAGCCCAACTAAGAGTTGGGTAGCTGAGAGAAAGAAGCTCCAGAGAGAGGTGAGTAGGAGGGAGGTAGAGAAAGAGCATTCAGTGAAAGACAGGGGTAAGGGAGGGCAACCAGGAAGGTGTGCAGGTCAGGAAAGAGGCGTGACAGAAGAAGAAAAGTAGTGCAGCTTGGGAAGAGCGCAGGCATGGCTTGTGACATGAAGCAAGAGGGCAGTTCCCGTGTTGCCCTACGCTGCAGGTGTGACACACCTTCAGGTGTGACTGGCAGTGGCCAGTGACAGACAGCACAAGCAGGTTACAGTGCCTGCGGGACCTGCCAGGCCTTGGGACAGGGTTATCAGCAGGCTGTCAGGGCACGCAGCCCCTTGGATTATCCTGCCCCCCGACTCTGGGCCGGGGATTTCCACTCTTGCCTTGTGTTTTTCAGCCCCAGCAGAAGGGAGCAGCTGTTCCCGCCTGAGCCCCTGGGTCTTCCTCGCTTCTGCCCTTGCCGTCAAAACTGCCCTCATGACCGTTGGCCTCGGTGGGTGCCAGGGTCCCTTTACTTCCCCGGGGAGGAAAGGAAAGGGGGCCTGAAATTGCCTGGTGTCAGGTGGACAAAGAAAACCCCAGCCTCTTTGCCAGCAGGCGACTGCCCTGCACCCAAACAGCCTGTTCTGCTGCCCCTTTCCCACGCTGCCTCTTAGCTGGGGAGCCGCGTCCCTTGCACAGTTAGCAGGTAGTGTCCTGGCAGGGCCTTCCCACAGCTCCTCTCACTTCCCAGCTGCCGAATCCAGCCAGTCCTGGGTGAAACCCATCAGTTCCTGCCCTCCCACTGCAACAGGGCCGAGAAGTCTCCGTAGTGCCAGACGACATCTGAGCAGGTTCCCCGAGGGCTGGCTGTTGGCTCTCAGTTCTCCTGGCCGCATTTGTGGTGTCCCTCAGAGCTCCTCGTGACCCTGTTGCAGCCAAAGAGCCAGCATGATCTCCCTGGACATCCTGCTCCCAGGGCTGCCCACGGTTGAGCAGAGTGAGGTGTAAATCCACCAAAATGCTCCAGCTGCATCCTACCCACAGCGCCTGGAACAAACAGAAGGGAAATATGTTGCGTGTAGTGTAGATACCTGGAGTATCGTTACTGCTCTGCGATAACTCTCCTGTGGTGTTCAGCTCCCTTGGGTGAGGCCTCAGCACTCAGCAGTTCTTCCCCTCCTTGGTATGCGTGAAAGGGTGCTCTAAAGCTGCAGAACACAGGCAGATTAAGAGGGAATGCATTTGATATTCCACCTTTACTAGGATGATCTCACAACTTCTTTGACCTTTTCCTGACCCCATCCTCTAAGGGTGTCTTAGCTGGGCTTTGTCGGCTGGGAAAATGAGTCTCAGCCAGCTGAGGTGAGGGGGGCTCATCTGATCAGTGTTTGCCCAAGGGAGGGAGTGACCCGTAGTGGGGAAAGCTGTCTGCTCTTTTCCTTCAGGATACAATTTTCAGAGCTTGTTGGTGTAACCGAGTCTCTGAGGGAGCTCTCAGCCAGAAGGTGGAGGGCAGGACAACTTGCCCATGAGAGGATGAAAGGATGACAGTAGCGCCTTCCTTCTCTTTCCCCTCTTCCCAGTTGTTCTCTTTCACAGGAGCTGTGGCCAGTACAAGACTCTGCCCCAGAATGCTCCAGGGTGGCACTGCATCCCCAATGGATCTGCAAGCCAAAGTGAGTGATGCTAAGAGCCTTGGGAGTGACACTGAGCACGTCCCCCACATTTATTCTGGTGTAAGTCAGCCTTTGAGTTTGGGAACGGGATTGTCAGCCAGAGCTGGATTGCCCTAGGGAAGGAAGATGGAGAGATGAGGAAAGAAAATGCTGTGTTTTCAAGTCTGACTTAGGATGCTCTGAAAACACGTCCTGGGCCAGTGGAAGAGGGTGGCTTGCTCCAGTTCTACCTTGTGATCACTCGTCCCTTCTCTGCCCACATACAGCCCCTCAGCTCCAGTCCAGTTCACAAATCTAGCCAAAAGCACTTCATCTTTTGAAAGGGATGGCTCAAACTGTGTCTCCAGTGCCATGGTTTTTCTACAAATGTAATGGTAAACATTGATCTAATATAGAAGAACACAGGAAATTAACATTTTTTTCTGCTTCTTCCACTCCCTGGACTTTCAATTTCTCGATTTGGTGCCAAGAAGGGAATCTGAGACAACTGCTTTGACCCTGATTAGATTTAAACTGTGTGAAATGAGCAGCTTTTCATTTCACAGAATCACAGAATTGTAGGGTTGGAGGGACGTGAAGAGAGCATTGGGTCCAACCCCCCTGCCAAAGCAGGTTCCTAGAACAGGTTGCCCAGGTAGGCATCCAGATGGGCCTTGAATATCTCCAGAGAAAGGGACTCCACAGCCTCATGAATGGAAGCTGGGACCTTTTGAAGAGTGTGAGCCCTGAAGCCTGCATCTTTACTCTGCTGGGTGAGAATATGTGAGTGCAAGGGACATGGTCAAATATATACCTGTAGGTACTGGAAGAACTAAGCACCTGCCCAGGCAGAAGCATTGCAGGCAGGCAGGTTCATTGCTTTTCATGTGGTTCTTGCAGCACAAGAATTCTTTGCTTCTGGTTTTGGTTCCTCTGTGGTCTTGCTTTGGACCACAGCCTCCTGGGCCTCTCCTCCCTTCCCTGTTCCTTTCATTTTTCTGGCCCCATATCAGCAGCAGCTGGTTACAGCATTGGCAGTCGCACCTTGATTGCATAGATTAGCACAGGGAGCCCCTGGAGAGCTCCTGTGTGGGGAACCCAAGAAGAAAGTCCCTGTGAGGTCTGAGATTCAGCTCTGCTCAGTGTACCAGAGTGTCTTTGTTGGTTGACTAGACTGGAAGGACTTGTTTGTTGGACATGTTCCATATTGAGCTATATTCTGTGTGTGATAGAAACAGCTTACAGATAGAGGTATATAACCTGAAAAAAGATAACCTCGTCCTTTAGAGAATGTGCCCATGCTTTTCAATCCATCATGTGACTTTCTGCGTGCATGGCAAATTTCTAGGAAAACATGCACGGCTTGTGTAAGAAACTACCAGTGTTGGCAGTGAGGCTGCCAGGCTAGTTTACTGTGTATGTTTGTTCCTGTGTATGAGATGAGAGCTAATCACTTGGACAATGCTTTTCTGATGTCAGTGTCCCCAGAGGAGTGCTCAGCTCCTTCCCATCTCACTTCCTCAGGAATGGTGAGGCAGAAAGTGCCTCTCCCCAAGCAGAGCTTGAATGGGCAGATAGAACAAAGGAAAAAGCTCTTCAAGCAGGGGCCCGGTGACAGCAATCTGTCAGGGTGTCAATGGTGCTGTTTGTGGAGCACAAAAGAGAGCATTTACCGCTGTCCAAAAGAAATGTACAGTTCAAACCCCTTCTCTGATACTTGGGGTTCTGTGCTGAGCTCACTGAGAAGAGGCACAGCACATCTTGTCCAACACAGGTCTTTCTTCCCCTACAGAGGACAGCTGAAAGTGCTGTCCAGTGGGCTGGAGACCCTTTCAAGAAAGCTGCTATTACTTCTCAGATGATCGGATGCCCTGGGATAAGAGCCAGCAGAACTGCAGTGGGATGGGCTCCCAGCTGGGATGGGCTTACCAATCTCTGCAATCTGTCCGCCACTGCAACGCTGAGTATCCCCAGCAACCAAAAAGGAAATATGTGGGTTAAAGCCAGCTCAGGCTCATTGCTCTCCTCCGAGTTTGTTTTTGTTGTTCAGTTTCCTATGCTGTTTTGGGCTGAAAGCATACATACCTTCATCCCATGCCAGTCTGGCTAATTTAGGAGATTATTGCCATTGTTTTGATCTTCTGAGGGATGTACAGTTACACAGCTGGTCAATTCACTCAGCTGATATAACTGGTTGATTCACTCAGCTAACTAGGGCAAGCCCACTCCTTGGTCCCATTTGTGCTGAGATAAGGTCCCTTTCATTGCAACAGCTGTGGTCAGTCACTGCATACATTCTTCCCCGAGCTTTGTAATTGCCCCTGCCCAGCTCTTCTGAGCCTTTGTCCATTATAGGAGATCACTGATCACTCACAGGGGTCACTGTGATTACTCTTCCCTCCTCATTAGTATTGCTATTTCTAAATGACACAGCTGATGAAAATAGACATCTCTATTGTCAATGTTATCTATATTATCAATATCCCTGAGTGTCTGAGTTGGTGACCACTCCACAGTCCTTTGGGCTGTGAACATGGCCTGCTGACACCAGCCACCACCACTGTATGAGCCAATAGCAATTCCCAAGTATTCCACCCTGGTTTCAGTAGAGAGAGGCATATGCTGTTACCTTCACCTGGACTGTCTTTGCTGCTGCTAAAACAGGCCCATCTAATGTGTTTCTCATCCAAACTATTGCTGATGTCTATGGCTAGCTTAGGAAGAGAGAAACTGTGTTGCTGAAGTGCTTCTTTTAATCCACTGATTGTAAAGGGATTTAGATGGGTATCTCCATGGTCAATGCCTGTGGTCAGGGGAATCAGCCCCACCCTGTGTCATGTTCTCTGTGTTATCCCTCCCAGGGGTCCCTCTGCTCTCTGACGTGGAAGGTTGTCACTTGCTGTGAAGGCAGCCATACTGCTTTGGGCCTAGTTTTCTAAGAGCCATGGAGCAACTAACCCCACACCTTCAGCTCCATGGCATCCAAGGAAGCCTGAGGGCATCTGCTCAGTGCTGGGACAGACTCCAGTAACAAACCATTGGCTTGCCACAGCCACCTGGGACTGCTCAGGTGGGTCCCGGGCTTCCTTAGCTT